CCTTGCAATGGAAAAGAAGGTGAAGGGGTCATTTCATGGTTTCCTGCTGCTGAGAATGTCTTGTTATAAACAGATGTGACAACAGTTACTCTTAGGTGCCATGGATCAGTGTCAGGGTGGCTAGCTCTGGACTAAGCCACCCACCTCCATTTGTACAACAGTATTGATACATAGGGCTACACTCATTACTGTTCAAGTGTTCTGTGTTAAAAGTTGTGTTTAATTTCTAAAGATTAAAAAAAAAAGTTTAAAAATTGGTGCTAAACTTTCACCCCTGAGCACGCTCAGTGAGACTGGTCATGCAAGCATTTACAGTGCCATGCTCCTCAAGCCTATTTTTCCTGTAGACATGTTGCCCTATTTGTCTTCCCCAGTGTATAGGATGTTTTTTTATTTTATTGAGGGTAGGTGGGATACCTGCCATTTAAGAAAATGGGCAGAAAAAAATTCAAACCCAAGAAATGGGGAAAGAAAAAAAATCAGTGCACAAGAATTGGGCTGGTTTGGCCCAGCACCACACTGAAGTGGCTCAGTGGTTTTGGAGTGAAGAAGCCTTACTCCCTGCACATTCCCTCATGCTCCCACACAAGGCCAGCAGTGGAGATGCTTGGGCTCCTCTTGCTTTATCAGGGGGACTCAAAAAAGAGTCGACTAAGGAAAACTGGCCCTCAAAGAATGGCCATTGTCCGTGTCCATTCTGAGTGGGGCCTAGTCAGGAAGGGTCTGAAGAGATACGGTAGTGGTTGCCCCACAAAAATGTGTGGCAGGTGGCTCTCAGGATAAATAGAGTCTGGATCTCCCCTGTGGCAGCTTTGCATAGGGAGAGGACAGCTCCTAACTGGAACTGAGCTGCCTTCTGCATGCTTGACCAAAGCTGTGATGGCTGGTATCTGCCTTTTGAGTTGTAGGAGTCAAGAAGAAAGGGTTTCTGCTGAGTGTTCCTCTGTCCTTGGGCTGCTCAAGCTGAACAGTAGTAACCACTGTTTTTAAGGAGCCATCCTGACTTGGCTGGCTTGGTTCGGAGACGTTTCATCCCTAGCTGTGAGTGCCTTTTGGTCTGGAAAGTCGGCTTGTCTCATAATACCCACAGCTAGGACATTCTCTCTGTAATTACAAATTGTCCTTGTTTTACGCAAACTTAAAAGAGAGTGTCTTTGATCACTAGAGTTTGTTGGTGTTGGATTATTTCCACTGTGAGGTTCTTAAAACTTCTTTGCTTCATAATATTAAAACAACTCATGTTAGAGACCTTTCACGTGAAAGGTTTGTAGTTGAGACATTACATGTATTTTATTGTTTATAATAAAATCATCTAGATAAAAGAAGTCCTGGGTGTTAATTTTAATATTTTGCACAAGATCTGTTTTCCATGATATGTTAACACCTACAACTTCACTAACTTGTTTTTTCTATTGATTCTGGAGCCTAGGGAGCTGTGTGTTCTTTATGTTTATTTTTTGTTCTTATTTCCCTGAAGCAAGAGACTGTATGGCCTTCAGTACAAAGACTTCAGACCAATTCTTTGTATTACACTTGGTTGCCTCTTGGCTATATAACTTCTGAGTGCAAATCATTGAACTCTTTAACGAAGTATTGTAGAGAATAAATCATAATGGGTAAAAAAAATAAAAAACCTGTTCTTTGTCTTGCCTTTTTTTTTTTAAAACAATGTAACTGGAGTTATATAGAATAGTGGTATCAGTGATATTTTTTAAAAGACAGTTAACCAGTATTTAGCCAGTCTAGTATTTGGTCATCGGGAAAGTCATGACACGTTTTTGCATGGAAAAATACATCATGATTTCCCCAACAACCTATTGTTTTGTTTGGGGCTCCTCACACCTCAGAACTTGGCATGTTTTTTTGTGGTTGGTGGCAATGCCACTGGTTTTTTAGAGCCAGGTTTCTGAGTTTCATTCATGAATCTTAAAATTTGGGTGTTTTCCTAAGAAAAGTTTCATTTTTCCCCACTATATTTTCAAATGAAAAGGCCAGAAACTCTTGAAGAGAAAAAGTGCTCAAGATACTTTGTTAATTTAAGCAAAAATCCTGGGCATACTGGTGTGGTCTGACAGAAGCAAAGTTTATTATATTTAGATGACCCAGAGAGGATGAGATGTCTGGAAAAAGTCATTTTTAAAGCATACAAACTCTTATTTGCTGGACTTCAGGAGGAGCAAAAGTAAAACATGAAAACTAAGGCTAGCTGTAAGGGGAAGTTTTGGGAAGCTGAGATGCAGCCTATTTGGGGTGCTGTCTGTCTCTTACTTATGGAAGAAATGGATATTGGGCCAGGTGGAATAGAGGTTAAAGCAGCTGGATCCCCATAGCTGACTACACAGTTTGAGTCCCTGACCAGATGGCTTGAAAAACATGTCGGGTACATGTGCATGCATGTCCGAAAATCTCTAGAGGAGAATGGAGGAGGGATTATGATACTGCCATCCTCTCTAGGGGGCGGGGGGGTGATTTCATACTTTCCCTTTCTCTCATTTGGGTGAGCAAATGAACCCTATAGCAAACTAAAATTTAAAAGATGAAACTGGGTAAAAGATCTTATTTGCAAGAAGGTAAAAAAAAAATTTTTTTTTGATACCCATTCTGAGATTGAAGCCTCTATACTTGGTGAAACTCCTAAATACAGGGACCAGCAGGTGGCATGGTGGTTAAGGATGCTGGACTCCCACATGGCCTACTGTGGTTCAAGTCCAAGTACCTGGCAGCTTGCTTTCTTACCTTCCTCTTCGTTCTCTTGCTCTGCCCTCTCTGGTCAAAAGTATGTATGTATGTATAAATAAATAGTTAAATAATTTTTTTTTGAGAGATTTTCACTGTAGGGTGCGTGCACTCGCCAGACAGAGAGAGACATAGAGACAGAAAGCGAGAAATCACCCCCCAGGGGGGATGGTCACGCCGCAATCCCTTCTCCATTCTCCTCTCGGGATCTTGGGCACGCATGCACACGCGCCTGGCGTGAGTTTTAAGCCACCGGGTCCGGGACACGAACCACGGTAGACTATGTGGGAGTCCAGCGACATAGCCATTACGCTAACTGCTGGTTCCCAATAGTTAAATAATGCTTTTTTTAAAAAAAAAAAATCAAATACATGGCCACAGGTAAACATCAGGGTTAGATGATAATTTTTGGAAACAGCCTATAAGCAGCTGGTTAAGACTTAGGTATTAACTAGTGTATGCAAAGAGCACTTCTGTTTTTTCACGAGAAATGAATGTTCTAGAGATTATATTTCATATTACCCGTAAGAACACTTGTAGTTGAACAGCATAGAATTCCCTATCACTGTTTTTTTGTTTTTGTTTTTGTTTTTGTTTTTTGGGGGGGTTAGGGGCTGGTAAAATATAAATAGAAAATTTGAGATTTAAACCATTAGGGAATGTGCACATGTACATCAGAGTGAGTGAGAGAGAGCAGTCTGGTCATCACATAATCTTTTTCCTCCAGTCCTCCATCACTTTGGGTCTTGGGCACTGACACACACTGGTGTCAGTGCCCAAGCGTGTGTCAGGCTAACCACACCAGAGATCAAAACCAGTCGCCATCTGAAATCTGGCTTCTTTTGAGCACACCCCACAATGGAGCATCATCACGCTGCAATCCAGTCTCCATTTTCCCATCCCATCAGGGCACATTCACACATATCCAGCAGTGTTTTGCAAGCCACCAGGCTGGGATTCAAGCTGGTCGAACTTGTGGGATCTGACTTCTCTACACATGGCACTTAGGTCTGCTCCCCTTTCTCCCGTTGTTATTTGAAGTGTGAAATTAGCCACGTGGTCAGAGATCAGTGGTGCTAATTCTTTTTTTTTAAAGAGTTATTTAATTTTGTCATTATTGTTATTTTTTAAATTGGACCAGAGAGAGAAAGAGAGTGAGAAAGCAAGTCACCAGGTCTGAGACTCAAACCATGGTCAGCCATGTGGGAGTCCAGCACCTTAACCACTTCACCACTTGCCGGCCCCAGTGGTGCTAATTCTTGTGAGGATGGGAGAAATACTCTAAAGCTGCTTCTAGATCAATCTAGGGTTTATAATCTTGGCTTATATAATACTATCTAAGGCCCATATAGTTATTGGATTTGAAATACTTTTCAGTGGACTGGTTGAAGGACTTGACTGTACCAGTGTACAAAGAACCACAGCAGAGTCCTAAGGACCATAATGCAGTCCTGTCCCTTCTGAGTCTGTTTTCCCCACTGTGAAACAAAGTTCAGAAAAGGATTCTACAGTCTCTTACTGCTGCTTGCTGGCTCATTTCTATGCACATGGTTTCTATATGCCATGGAAAATTGAAAAACAAATAACCCCTCTTGTCAAAATGACAAATTTAAAAACTGACTACTGGGGAAAGGAAGCAGGAGACAGTTCACCTGTCAGTCACTCAGTTCCCTGCTGTCAGACCTCTCCCCAGTATGATCATTCTTTAATCCCCAGCCCCTGGCTCCTAAGCACAGAAATAACCCAGGGCTGTGACAACTGCAGTCTCCACAGTCTGGGCTTGGATCTTGGCCCTGCCATGTATGAAGCAGAGCACTACTATTGCTCTGAGCCTCATTTTCTATTCTGTGATAGGGCTGTGAGTCTGCAGTAACTGGTCAAAAACCGTGAGTGATTCAAACCACATGGGTTCTCTTTAAAATGTTATAAAAAGGCAAATTTTAATTGCCAGAGTGTGTGTACTCGCCAGAGAGAGAGAGAGAGAGAGAGGAGAGAGAGAAAGCAACCCCCCCCCAGTAGGGCATGGTCATGCCATAATCCCTTCTCTTCCATTTCTTAATTCCGTTGAAATTTGGGCACACACACAGTGTGTTTTTCGAGCTGCTAGGGCCGAGATTTGAACTATAGCCAGTCATGTGGGATCTGGAGCCATTAACCACTAGGCTCCAGGATTGGCCTGAAGTTTTCTTTTGATTGAAAAAAATGATATAGCGGGACCAGCAGTTGGCATAATGGCTATGTCGCTGGATTCCCATATAGCCGACCGCAGTTCGAGTCCCGGACAAGGTGGCTTAAACTCATGCCAGGCGCGTGTGTGTGCATGCCCAAGATCCCGAGAGGAGAATGGAGGAGAAGGGATTGCGGCATGGCCATCCCCCCCTGGGGGGGGATTTCTCGCTTTCTGTCTCTCTGTCTCTCTCTCTCTCTCTGTCTTTCTGGCAAGCACATGCATCCTATAGCAAAAACCTCTAAAAAAAATGATATAGTAACAATAATGAAAAGTGTATTATAGCAAACTGATGTTTATATAAAGTCCAAAGAATTATTGTACTTTCCTTTATTTCTCAAGAATGATACAATGAAAATGACAATTAAAGGACAATGAAACATGAATTTAAATAGTGAGTATTCCTCATTATGCGCTTGTTCTTTCCATTCTGTTTCACTAAATTTTTTTTTTTTTTTAGAGGTTTAGAGGCTGTGGAATGAACAAACAAAAAAAAACCCCACACTCAGTTGCAGGCCCACTTCTATCACCCAGCCAATGCAGGACTATGGACTCCTCGGGACATCCATCTTGTGGCTCTGATGAACCCTGCAAAACAGCACTTTGAAATAGTAACAATCTCTGCCAGTGCTATCTAATTGCATCACTCAGGGTTCTCAAAGGAGACAGAACCAATAGGTTTGTATAGATACATACAAGGAAATTTGGGGGGAAATCAGCTTATGGAGTTATGGCAGCAGCAAAGTCCAACAGATCCTGAGCAAGCTGGAGATCCTGGGATTCTGGTAGCATGTATCAGTCCAAGTCCAAAGGCCTCAGAGCAGGCTGTCTTGCATTGTCTCGAAAGGAATCCATTCCTCTTCTATATTTGTTCTCTCTGGTCCCTTGACTGGATCGTGACTGCCCACATTGAGGGTGGATCTTTCATATTCACCAGATCCACCATATCCAGACTTCCATGTTAATTCCTTCTGGAAACTCCCAGGCTCAAACCTACAATAATCCTTTTTCTAGGTATTCCTTAAGCCAATCAACTAGACTCCCAAAACTAACCATCACAATAACCTACTATTATTATTTTTATTATTGTTTAGGTGTTTGCCATAGGTATGTGCACTGGCCAAAGAGAAACAGAGAGAGGGAAAATGAGAAATCATGCCCCTCTCCCCAAGGGGAATAGCCACAGTGCAATCCTTTCTCCATTCTCCTCTCACGATTTTCCCCATGTGGCCCAAAGTGATTTTCAAGCCACAGGTTCAGGGACTCGAACTGCAGTTGGCCCTGTGAGAATCCAGAACCTTAACCACCATGCCACCTGCTGGCCCCAAATACTATTTTCAATCAATACATTTCTTCTGGAGGTATAGAGCAATTACTTCTGTAAAAATTATATGGATAGGGGGACCAGCAATTAGCGTAATGGCTATGTCACTGGACTCCCACGTAGTCGACTGCGGTTTGCATCCCAGACCCGGTGACTTAAAACTCACGCCGGGCGCCTGTGCGTGCGTGCCCAAGATCCCAAGAGGAGAATGGAGAAGAAGAGATTGCGGCCTGGTCATCCCCCCTGAGGGGTGATTTCTCACTTTTTGTCTGTCTCTCTGGTGAGCGCATGCGCCCTACAGCAAAAAAAACTCTCAAAAAAAAAAAAGGGCAAAACAAAACACTGTTAATGAGTCAAGCAGTGCACCATTTTTATTTCTTTTATTGGAATTGAAAATGTCATCAGTTTTCATTTGCCTGATGTTCTAAGTATCATCCAAATGTTCCAACATGTGTTAAAACCTCTCATATTATTGTTCAGGTGCTCAGAAGTATTAGATAACCCACTACAAATTCATAGAAATTTTAAAATGCTTATAACATTTATAGAAATTCTACTGTACGCTGTTGAAGTCACCTACCCACCTTTCCGGATAGAGGCATAGCCGAAGTCGGTCACTGGGCGCGTTCCTGCACCTCACGTCATCCTTTTCTAGGCTCAGAGAGGCCGGATGACCTGTCCCGGGACCCGCAGCAAGGAAGTGTTGGAGAAGAAAGGGGCACGGTCTGCCGACACCGACCGGTACAAGCCGTCCCACCGCAGGCCACGAGCCTCCAGGACCTGGCAGGATAGCCCCTCGGCTCCCGGCGCTCCAGCCCTAGGCGATTCCCTTGGCTTCGCCCCGCCCCCCGGTCCAGGCCACACCCCCTCCGTGACCGAGCTTGTGCTTCCGCTTCCGGCGGAGTTGGTGGCGACGGGCTGTAGCAATGGCAGCAGGTGGCAGTGACCCGCGGGCTGGAGATGTAGAGGAGGACGCCTCACAGCTCATTTTTCCCAAAGGTGAGGCCAGGGCTGCCCAAAGGCCCCCCACATCTGCGTGGTCGCGGTAGGCCTGGCGTTATTCGCGCCTGGCCTTCAGCGGGCGGCATGGGGCCGAGAAGAAGGGAGCGTGGACCCGGGCGTCACTGTCTCTGTGCCTCAGAGAGGGGACCAACTTGATTCGACCTCCCGGCCCTTGAGGTCCCCAGCGCCCAGCTCCACTCTGCGCTGGATAGAGTTCTTAGTAGCTTTCGTTATCTGGTAACAAAACGCGAAGTACTGGAGCGATGTGTCAGACAAAGCCCTGCGCTCACGCGGGCAGGACTGATGCTGCGGTAGGAAAGAGGGTCCAGTTGAACTGAACGCCCAACTTCGGATTATACCGAACCTCGGAGCGGTTTTTTTTTATGTTTTTCTTTTCTTGCCGTGGGACGTGCGCGGCAGAGACAAAGAGAGAACGCACCCACCCCACCCCCCATGGGGTATGGCCTGCAGCAGTCCCTTCTCCATTCTCCCTCTTTTTGAGATTTAGGGCACCAACTCACGGGCGCCTGGCGTGTCTGTCAAGCATCCAGATAGGTGACTCGAACTGTGCAGTCAGCCCGGTGAGATCCAACCACCCCAAGGTGGAGGGCTGGCCCCCTCGGGAGAAAGAGGGGATGGGGCCAGCAGGTGGCATGGTGGTTGAGGGTGCTGGACTCCCACGTGGCCCAGCATGGTTCTATTCCAGGACCTGGTGGTTTGTTTTCTCGCTCTCACTCTGTCTCTCTCTTGTCAAATGAAAAATAATACATACATACATAGATAAAGTTAAAATTAAAACTAATAATAAAGGGAAAAGAGCAGGCAGGGAAAGACCCAGCTGGGTTCAAGAGAGTCAGGGAAATGAAAAATTACACAAATCTGGAGGGGCAGAGTTGGTCCATGTGAAAACCACCCATATGTATTGACTCACGCCTAGCGAGGGCCTTCCCTCCCACAGAGGCTGAGGGGCATCCTATCTTCAGATGGTGCCTGGAACAAATTGTTTCAGCAGCCCTGAGTTTTCTCAGGCACACACTGTAATAAGGGGGAGTGGGAGGGCTTTCCTAAGGATGTGGTCTTGACCTGTTAAGAAACTGTGTTGGTATTTGGTTCATCCTTATGGGTCAGAATTGATAAGGCTTAGTCAGGAAGAGGATGCAGAGGAGCCTGGCAAGGGTTTGGTTAAGGAGAAAATTTGTCAGGTAGGATTTGCAGCATTTGTAATTTAGAGACTCTGAATAATCAGGGAGCTTTAAAAAATTGTAATACTGTACCACAGGTATTGAAAAACAGAAAGTGGGGCCAGCCAGTGGTGTAGCTCACTGAACAGTTTACTTCTGAGAGCCATTGCTTCAGAAACATCCTGGGTACACGTAATGTGTGCCAGAAATCCTGAATGGAGGAAAAAATGAAGGAGAGGGAATTTCAGCATCACCCTAAGGGGTGCTGTCTCTCTCTCTCTTTCTCTCTGCCCCTTTCCCTCTCCAGTGAGCACATATGTCCTTTAGCAAATTACAAAATACAAACTTTTTTTAAGATTTCCCATAGAGTACAGAGGCTTGCCAGAGAGACAGAGAAAAAGGGAAAGTGAGAAATCACCCCCCAGAGGAGATGGCCAACGTTGCAGTCTCTTCCCATTCTCCTCTCAGGATTTTGTCATGATTTTCAAGCCAGTGGGTCCAAGACTCAAAGGAGAGTCTGCCATATGGGATTCAGTGCCTTAAACACTATGCCACCTGCTGGCCCTCTTCAGAAAGAACTTTTTTTATGCCATAGGGTGCATGCTGTGTGTGCATATGTACACACATGCAAGACAGAAGAGAAAGGCAAAGAGAGGGTAAAGAACTGGGGCTAGCAGGTTGCACGGTCTTCTTTTTTTCTTTTCTTTTTTTTTAAAGAGAGATTGTTGCTATAGGGTGTGTGCACTCACTGTAGAGACAGAGAGAAAGCAAAAGATCACCACCTAGAGGGGATGACCAAGCCATTGGACTCCTGCATGGTCAATTGCAGTTTAAGACCTGAACCTGGCATCTTTCTCATGCTCTCTCTCTCTCTCGCTTGCTCTCTTTCTCATTCTCTCTGGTCAAATTGAGTAATAATAATAATAAGTTAAATGATTCTTTAAAAAAATAAAGCAGTTGGCAGGTGGCATGGTCGTTAAGGAGCTGAACTCCCACATGGTTGACTGTTTGAAGTCCCGGGCCTGCCAGCTTGCTTTCTCACTTTCCCTTTCTCTCTCTCTCTGGTCAAATTAATAATAATAATAATAATAATAACAACAACAACAACTAAATAATTCTTTTTTTAAAAAAGAAAAGAAAAGAAAAATTATCCCCCAGTGGGGCCCAGTCACTCCACAGTCCTTTTTTCCCCAATGCCCTTCCCCCTCAGGATTCTGGGGCATACACAGCTGGTATGTTTTCTAAGCCACTTGGGCTGAGATTCAGAAGCTGGCCTACCATGTGAAATTCAGCTTCCTCTGTAGCTGTCATCCACTGCTACATGGTGCAGGCCCTTAATTCTCATTTTCCTTTTTGTTTGTTTGTTTGCTATAGGGTGTGTACATTTACTGGAGAGAGAGAGAGAAAGGAGAAACTCAAACTGTGTAGTCAGCCACGTTGGATCCAGCCATCTTAACCACCATGCCATGAGCTGGCCTGTTAACTCCCATTTTCTTTTTTGCTTTTTAAATAATTATTTGTTTATGGGACCAGCAGGTGGCATGGTATTTAAAGGTGCTGGATTCCCACATGGCCAATCAGAGTTCAAGTTCCAGACCTGGTGGTTTGCTTTCTCTCTTTTCCTTTCTCTCTCTGGTCAGATTAAAAAATAATAATAACAAATGAAATTAAATAAATATTTTTTAAAGAATTATTTATTTTAAAATTTTAAAATAATTATTAATTAATTAATTTTAATTTATTTATTTTAATTTGACCAATGAGAGACAGAGCAGGTGGAGGAAGCAAGTTGCCAGATCTGGGACTCGAACCATAATCAGTCATGTCGGAGCCCAGCACCTCACTACCATGCTACCTGCTGGTCCCATATTTTTAATTTGTCCCAGAGAGGGACAGAGAGAGTAAGAAACTGAGCCAGGACTAGAACTGTGGTCGACCTAGTGGGAGTCCAGTGCCTTAATTACCATGCATCCTGCTGGCCCCAAATTACCAATTTCTTTCCCTTTTTTTGAGAGCTTTTTGCTATAGGGTGTGTGCACTCACTGAAGACATAGAAAGACAGAAAGTGAGAAATATCCCAGGGGATGATGGCCACGCCACAGTCCCATTTCCTCCATTCTACTCTCAGGATCTTGGGCATGCATGCACACGCACCTGGCGTGTGTTTTAAATCACCATGTCGGGATCAGCAGTTAGTGTAATGGCTATGTTGTTGGATTCCCATGTAGTTGACCGTGGTTCGAGTCCTCGACCCGGTGGCTTAAACTCACACCGGGCGCGTGTCCGTGCATGCTCAAGATCTTAAGAGGAGATTGGAGGAGAAGGGATTGCAGTGTGGCTACCTCCACCTATATGTATATATGTGTGTGTATATATATATATATATACACATCACTAAGTTTGGGACTCAGTCTGTGGTCAACTGCCTGGGAGTCCAGAAACATAACCATTATACCATCTACGGGTCCCCCATGGATTGTGACCATGCCACAATCCCTTCTCCACCGTTCTCCTCTTGGGATTCTGGGCATTCATGCACAAGTGCCCGGCATGAGTTTTAAGCTGCCAGGTCCAGGACTTGAACCACGTTTGACTATGTGTGGGTCCAACCATATAGCATTATGCCATCTGCTGGTCCTAAGGTTACACAATCTTAATATTAATGCGTTCCTTTCTCATTTCTCATTGCCCTGAGATGGTAGTTTCTTTCTTTTTTTGGAGAGGTGTTTTTGGTATAGGGCCCTTGCCAGAAAGACAGAGAGAGACAGAAAGCGAAAAATCACTCCCTTGGAGATGGTCACGCCACAATCCCTTCTCCTCCATTCTCTCGGGGTCTTGGCATGCACACACATGCGTCCAGCATGAGTCTAAGACACTGGGTCTGGGACTCGAACTGCGGTCTGCCACATGAGAGTCCAGTGACATAGCCAATACGCCAACTGCTGGTCCCCTGAGATGGTAGTTTCTTTACCTCCAGGTGAAGGATGAAGAGAAGATTTTGGTTTACAGTAGGTATGTCCCCAATGATAGGCCAATGGACTGGAAAAGAGTTGACTCTCAGTTCTTGTTC